AATGGGCTTTAGGAATCTGAAGAAGGAAAACTCCCCCTCACAAACTACAAGCATCGGCTGCGTTTTCAAGCCCACAGCTACCATAAACTAAGGCTGATGCCCCGAAGGCAGAAGGACCTCAGGGCAAACCAAACCAGCAAGGAATGGAGAATCAACTCTCTCACTAGTAGCTGCCTCGTGCCTCAGTGAACTGTTCGTATCATCCAAACAGAGAAGTCTAAAGGATACAAGATTGGGCTTTCAAGAAAATCTGAAGGTAACAGCTAGACCAGCTAAATGAATGGGTATTTGTGAAATATATTTGTGCCTTAAATCATCATGTTAACTGACATCTCTAAGGATACAGAAGCCTGCACACTCGGTTTAAATCTAAGGCATTTCAATGTGTTTTCTGCATCTGATCTAACCTGTTCTCTGTGATGAAATAGAAAAAACTGTCTGTATAGTGCATGGAGGCATACAGTCACAGATAGACAAAAAGTCAGGTAAGCTGAGCACTAAAACTGCCAAAACCTGAAATATCCAGAACAATATACATGATGCCCATTGCATATTACTAGAAGCACATGAACTTCCATGCTGTAGCTCACAGGTGAAACACAAACATCATTCTTCATTTCAGTTTTCTTCATTTCATTTTTCTAAATTACTTCGGGGGAAAAAAAAAAAAAAGTATTTGAAACACAAAGTTACTGCTTCTCCTCTAGGTCCTTTCTCATTGTGTAACATTAGCATGGACCTGTTGCACACACATAAATCCACTATCAATCTTCACTACAGTGTACAAAACCATTATAAAAGTTATTTCCATGGTGGAAGAGATTGCCATTCTTCCGCCTTACCAAATCTTCCAAGAGCACAAGACTAGTGCTCTGCATTTTAGGACAAAGAGTAACCTGAAGTTTTTGACCTTCAGCATTACAAAGACTGAGACAAAACTCACGTTTACATTTTTGTTTACCAGTACTTCTACATTTTCACTCTAGTTTCACAATAAAAGGACTATTCATAGATTTTAAAGGAAGAAAAATCACATTGGAGCTTGAAATCTAGCTTCGTCAGTACCTCTGATTTCATAATTTTCCAAAAGATTCTGATGTTTTTCTAGTCTTTTGGGAGTTTACCAATTGAACCCCCTTTGAAATCCATAACCTGCTATTGTCTAGGGTAAATACATGCAGGTCAGAAAGCGTGCACTAAAAATGAAATCCCTTTGAGATTCTCCTTTTGAATCCAGTAAAACTGAACCTTAGTTTCTTGATAAATCATGCATTTTACCAAGAAGAATGCAAGTCCAGATCTCATGAACAAGTGGTTTGGTTTGAATTAAATACATATATACCATACATACCTGGTCTGTGGATTGTACACTTTAAGGCTATTTACAGATATCTTCTGCTGAAGACTTTTGTGTTTAGCTCTGCTTTGGGATTTTTAATTTGATTTTATTCCAACCACACAGGCAGTTCTTTACTGACCTAGCTGGGTGTGTGCCATGAGATCTGCAAGCACAGTGGCAGCAGCGGTGGCAGTAGCAGTATTGGAAGCAGCAGCAGGTTTCCCTCCTGGATGAGATGAGGTGGAGGATGCAGAGGATGAGGTGGAGGAGCCCTGAATAACCCGGTTAAGCCAGGGCTCTACGTTGGAATGGCTCTGGAACGGAGTGGAGGTGATCCGCCCTTGCCGACGTAACGAGCCCTCATCTTCTGAGGCTGACGATGTGTCTGTGATTAAAATAACGATGACAGGCATGTAATGTAGGAATGACCCAACAGACAGGAACATGAAGTTTTTCCATGTTCTTCACGTAGCATTCTCATGTGCTACACATGAGATGAGTGTATTAAGCAAATGGTATATTCACATGCACAAATTCGATTCGTTGACACTTTTTAGATTAATGTAACAACTTCTACATATTATAGAAAGAACACACTTGAAGCAAAGTTTCATTTACCTCCTGTATTCGGAATGACGTAAGACCCAAAACCGGCTTCTACCTAAGATACCTGGTGTATTCACTAACCATTCTCAGTGAGCATACCATACCTATTCCACTGAAAGAATATTTCTGTTCTGAACAGCTAAATTTGATCTCATCCCACCTGAATGAATTCCATTCTATTTTTTGTTCAGCATTTTCTTTCTATTTTGGAGGGGAAATTCTTCACTTTACCATTCTTTTGAAAAATTTATTGAGAACTAATTACTAAAAAAAGCACAGTTCTATAAAGTTCAATGAAAGAGTAAATTCATTATTCTAACAATGATTAAAAGGAAATTAAAAGCATGTATTTTAACCACGTAAACTGACATTAATGAGCACTATATAGAAATGCTTAAAGCATCTTTTCATTCTAGATGTATATTTGCTGCTGATAGAAGTCTGATAAAGGGCTCCTATTTCAATTACCATTCAGTTATGTACAACTTCCCAGAAGTTTCCCTTTGGCAGTCAATATTTCCACACTTATTATCCACTTAATAACAAATAAAAAGGTCTAAGTATCAAGAAAATACATCCATGTTGATTTTTGAGTGAAAAATAGTAACTTTGCTACAGGAAAAAAAATATCTTGCCCTCTTAAAGAGACTGCTGCATTTTAAGAACTTGATCCTTTATATGCACACACCCCCCTGCCCCCACATAAAGGAAAGCTCCTAAAGCAACCCATTGTCCATATACTGACAAAGTTCAATCAAGTCAGTTTGTGAAGAGCAATTTTAAGTCACACATAACAGCTAGACCAATTAATAAGTCAGCAGGAGCTGAAAAACAGCTTGTGAAAAAAGACAGGGTGTCCATTACTATACTCTGGAGTCCCTTCCAGACATGGAAATCCTCAGTTATAGTGGGGTGGATTATATCAGAAATTCAGCAACCTTAATTTTGGCTAGTTTGTTTTGTGGGTTGTTTTCTTTTAAGTCTTCTGAACCCATAACTGTTCAGCTATATACAATTCCATATATAGTTTTTGAAGCCACATTAAGAAATCTTTTCCTCATCTTTGGCAATAAATTTCAGTTACCAGGTGTTTAATTTTCTGCTTTTCAAGAACATGTGCATTTGCAATAGCTTCAGAATAATTGCTCTTAAACAGTCTAAAATCACAAAAATCAGAAATTATTTCATAAGAAGCCCATCTAACTCAATGGCATTTTCAAAGTTAAAAATGTAGATCTCTGATTACTTGAGCATCTCTAGTCAAACATGACAATGTTGGATGAAAATACACAAACAATTGATCTTTGACAAGATACAGCTGTGGTGGATCACCATTCCTGGGGCTGTGCCTTGTATGATATTTCTGGTCTACTGCCACGGTTGTAGTTTTTGGCTGCTGACTCCATCTGCTCCTGGAGAGGAGCCAAACCTGCCCCTTAGTGCTTGCAACCTTCCCTTTCTATTAAGCAGAAAGCAAAAATAAACAGTTCCTGGAATATGGAAGAAAATAGGATTACAAACAGTCATGTTTTGGAAAAAAAGCTCCACGTTTGTGATCTACTATCACTTCAGAGCAAGAAATAAAACTACAGAAAAAATAGGTTTCTCAAAGAATACATACTGTGATAGTACCTCCTTATCCAGACACAAGTTTAATGACGTCTCTCTAAAATTTCTAAGCTTTCAGGTGTCTTACATAAGCAGAGGAGTAAAAAAACCACCCCACTTTAAATGTAAAATATTAACCGTGTATAAAAATGAAGGATCTGTAGTAAAAACATTCTAACACCAAAACATAGTAACAAGGTAACATCAGTAACTAGCTTTGTGGCAGTCACAAGAGTTAATTAGTGGTTCCTGGTGTGCTGTGAGCAGAATGCTATGTACTTGGCCTGCAGCTCTTCCTGGCTGGGAGCTGACCCAAGTTAGCCACAGAAACCACCACCCTTTGGACCAAACTTCCATGAAGACTACAGCTGAAGTTCTGATCACGTAAAATCTGTATGGGAATGAGAGACTCGATGGGCCAAAACCAAAAGTACATTAAATTTTTTCTGATGAAAGCAGTGCCATTACTGTAGGTCAGGAGTTGGTTTTGAACTTAACGTTGTGACTAGAATCCAATGCTTCCTTCCTGGTGACCGATGGTAACTGTTTGTAACAAAATTTCAGTTATCAAGAAAACCTGGTTTTAATTGGATTAACTTCTGCCAATACAAGGATTTTAGTGGTTCAATGGCTCAAGACAACAAAACTAGATGCTTCAACACTACTCAGGTTCTTTGCAATTTCAGATCTTTCCTGCCGAGATAACTTTGCAAATAAAAGCAGGCCTATAAAAAGATAATTATTTTTGTGAATTGATACAGCTGAAGCAAGTTCTCAGAATATTTTTGAAAGGCCTGATCTCCTACAATACAGAATTCATGGCCCACTCTCTTAGGGAGATAAAGGTATCTCGTAACAAGTCACCTTCTCTTAGAAACAGCACAACAGACTCCAAAAACACTTAACTCTTCTTCCAGAATATACTAGTTAGGGTGCTTCTGTATCCTGCTAAAGCCCAGCACGAGTACACTTGTCTCTTCTCTGCTAACCACTTGGGCAGGCATGTTAGAATGACGACAACTCTCCAGCAGCACCAACACACAAAAAACTTCACACAAACACAGGCGGATCCTATGGCCTCATCCTGCTCCCCTCTCTGGCTGAGCAGGATCGATGTCATAGATCCTGGTCATAGGTCCACACACAACGTGGACCCTTCCAGCAGCACTCAGTCTGTGAAGCAGCTGTCCTTGGATCCCAGTCTCTCCAGTTGCTGGCACTTGGTCATACGAGCCTCAGGCTGCAGTTCTACTCCGTTTGTTCGTACAGACTGACTGACTCAGCCACTCCATGCACAGAACACAGAGTCCCTCACCCAGAAGTGTTTGAAGTGGAGCACAACAGGAGGAGGGGGACAGACTGCAGGGGCAGGTGCAGGGCACAGCCAAGCAAGTGTACCATTTATACATGACCAGCCTTTTTTTATTGCCTTACCCCACTATTTTCCCCACATTTGTTTCTCCCCAAATCAACTAAATCTACCCCTTTCCCCATCTGTGGTTGCTCACCTAAACACCCCATAAGAAGTCTCATTCAGTCCCCAAGTACTTTTGCCCCACATCCCATAATGTGACCCATACCCCTCCGTGACATCATCCCTTAGTCCAGAAGGTGCTCTGGAAGGTACTGGAAGGCCTCTATAAGGTCCCCCAGAGCCTTCTCTTCTCCAGGCTGAACAACCCCAACTCTCTCAACCTGTCTTCATAGGAGAGGTGCTCCAGCCCCATGATCATTTTTGTGGCATTATCTGGTCTCCCCCACCTGCCACTCTCTGTGCTCCTGCAAAGGTGTGCAGACAAGATTTATCACATAACCTAACATTTTACCCACAGTATCTCAATTTCTTTTTTTAATAAAGTCTCTCAATGCCCCCCCAGACTCTGCTTCTTCAGAGCAGCATGCAGCCCTAACCTCAGGCAGAAGGAGCATAGCAGTAGCCACAGGGACACTGCTTCAAATCTGTCCCGAAGGTATTCAAAAGAGAATGGTATTTTGGTTCTCTCAAAAAAACTACAAGGAGATTCCTTCTAGTTTTAAATGCTAAGGGAGACAGGAAAGCCTAGCTGTCCTTCGCTCTTAGCAGAGCTTCTGGACATCACTTGTTTTTTGCGCATCAAACCTTAGGCAAGAATAGTGGCGTGTTCTTTTCTTGTTGTGATATACCTCATGCCAAGCACATAGCAATTTGTCACACTAGGGGAATGAGAGAAAAGGACAGAGCGATGCTACATGAAATGCACCACTGACTGTTCTATCAGAGTTTATTTTGGACAGTGAGAAGGAATATTGCTTTGAAGAGCTATAAACAGAAACCTCAGGGCTTCTTCTCCCAAAGCCTCACTATACAGATGGTCGTTATTCATTAATTTTCTCCAGGATTTCACTTTATGCAATTCACAACTTTCACATACAAAAACATGTATACAAGAAAACTCAAGAGCATGATAACCACCCTGCTGCAACTGCTGCCCTCATGGGCTTCTGGTATATGAGTACTAGAAGAATAAGCTAATCAAAATGCATGATACCGTATCTTATAGGCAAAAACATAAGGGTGAAGGCTTACATATAAGACTACAGAATCAGTTTATATTTTATTAACTAACGAAATAACCAGAGAACCTACAAAAACAATATACAAAAGTGTCTGACTGGCAAAGAAAAGTGGAATTTCCTTTAAATGGGAAGAACGGACAGAAGAAATACAGCCCAGAAAGCAAGACAGCAGCACAGCACACCTGCTCTTTTACAGGAGGATAAGAATACAGAATTGATGGAGAAGGGCACTAGAGGTCAGTGCGCCTCTGCTCCCAGGCCACACTGGAAAAGACAAAAGCACATCATTCACAACCGAAGAGCTTTGGGAAGTTCCTCTTCTTTGTATACAACACACCAGCCCCAAAACACTTGGCTTGCCAGCACATGTTATCTGGGGAAACATTTTCTTAACCTCTAGAGAATCCACTGTGAGACAACAGGAAGATTACTTATTTTCTTCCCTAAGAAAAAAAGAAATTAAAGAAAAATGTTCTGATCTAAACAATCCGAACAATTATAGCACATGATTTTCTGAATGTTTTAAATTGCTTACAGGTGAAACCATCTGATGAGTGTTGTGGAAGCTAATGCAGCAACTTAATGCTCTGGCGTTTTCTTCCGCTCTTAAAAAAAGAATCTTATGCAACATGAAATAAGGTATTTACAGCTCTGGTATGCTTGCCAAGATTATCTCCTTCCAAGTGAGACATTACATAAGAGGACACACTTAATGCATAAAGGGCAACTGCTCACTCTATTACTGCTTTCAAGTGTACCTTTAGCAGCTGCAGTATCTGTAGATGAGACACTAAATATCTTGAGGAAAGACATCAAAGAACAAACCTGATCAACACCTGATTATCAGGAAATACAACCATGAATACAAAAGTTTATTGCAACATACTTACACCTTAGCAGAACAAAGCTTGCTCTTTATATTTGCTATCATGTTCACCTGGCAAGATTTACGTATGTTAACTCAACAGGTACCTGGAGGTGTATACGTTTCTACTGAAGAGTGCACAAGAACAGACCGTCTTTTTGAAGGCATAGGCATCTTTCTCTCTTTGTATTTTGCGAGTGCTGCTTGTACTGCTTCAGTGTGGATATCTATACAGAAAACAAACAAACAAAAAAGGTTAAGCAGTTAAGCTTAATCATTATTTCTTTCTAAAAAGATGGAAAGTATCAATGCCATCTTTTACAGCTCAAATCCACAGGCTGAACTGCACAGGAAGCCTTTGCGGCTTGAGTCCTGCTCAGCTTGTAGAAAGGAGCAGGTTCTGTGGATCAGAGGAAGAAGTACTTCTTGGAGAGCAGAAAGGTCCAAACCTGAACTACAGTGACATGGTTTTCAACTCCGAAGCTGTGACAACTCCTTCAACAGTGTTTAGCAGGAGTGAATAAACATACCTGCCTCCCACCCAAATTCAGTTCAGAAGCCCCGGTTTCAAAAGTTAAGGGAGCATATAAGCAGGGTCAAGTTGACATTTTCCTCATGAAATCATATTCGCAAAGCCATTCCAAACTGATTTAGGAAGAACACCCTGAAGTTACAGAATATCTAGGTACGTTATTTCTAAACTATGATTTACTTTCATTTGGGGAGGAAATTTCAACACAAATCCTGTAAATTTGCACCAGCATTGGACTCTTCATCCTCAAAATCCACAATGGGAAAAATGAAAAATGTGTACTTGAAGCTCTCACAAAACAATGCAAGTAATAAAATACAGAAAGAAAGCAAATTTATATGAAGCACTAGGAAAGAAACACAAAGTGTTTTCAGTTTCCTGAAAGCAAAAATTACCCTAACGTACTCATGCGGTACATTTTAACTTTTCCTATTTTTAAGCCAAAACTGAGATTAAAGAAGAACTTAGTGTTCAATCAAGACCACACTGCAGATAAAATGTAATGTATTCAAGTATGCTAAATTGCCTTCAGCAGATTTTTCTCTTTGACATATATATTTCAATGGTGCCAAAACCTAACACTTACGCAGAAAGTAAATTCATGAGAAGTGAACAGATGTCAAGGAGAAATGAGGCAGACCAAAAATATACTTTAACTCACGACCTAAGATTGAAGCTAATGAAAAACAAGTACAACATGTATACTCTTACACATAGCTACAAAGGGCCCAAAAGGAACTATTATGATTATGCTTGTGTCTCATCACATTTCTTCTATGTGGAAGCTGCTATACAAGAATTACAGAATGAAACTGTTCAATTTGAAAAAACAGATGTATTCTTTCATTAAGTATCCATCTAAGGCTGCAAATACATAACAGGTTGATAGACTTGCAGATATGAAACTCAAGACACGTGACATACATACACTTATGCAACTTACATGTTAAAAAAAGTAGTTTCTCTGCCCTATATCTACATGGATTAACCTTGATGAATACCACAGGTAAAGCTCCATATTTTATGGTTCTTTTTTTTTTTTTTTTTTTTTTTTTTTTTTTAAAAAAAAAAAAAAAAAGTGTACCATTTCTGGTACTAGTCCTTACTTAACCTGGAACCTGCTTTGGTCATGCTCAGCACAAGGTTCTTCCTAATTTATTTTAAATATGCTGATCAATTCCAGTTAACATTGACAATGCAAGAGACAGCTCAGGGGGAAGCTAATCATTATATATTTGTAACGAAGGTCAGATGAGATCTTTGAGCATCCCAGAGAATGAAAGTCCATGAAAGAGCAAAGCACAGCACATCAATGTGAACCCGTAGGAAGTCTTGGCAGAAAACACTTTCCAAAGGCAGCTGCGTCTCAATGCAGTGGATAAACAGCTGGGGGACAACTACTCAACTCTCAATTTCAAAACCAGATTCCAAATGCTGCCCATAAACTCAGAAGCATCACCTTGCCAGAGAAGGCTTCACGCAATATATTTCAAAGCAACTCTAACAACAGATACTGGCAGGTAACTTTCTGTCAGAACTTCTAGTCTTAAGTAAATCAGACAAAAATCCCCATAGCTTAATCTGACATCTTCTCCTATGTTTGATGAAAACTGTTTCATTTCCACACGTAAAAATCCCCCCTGCTCCAAAGCATATTCACACCATGTACTTCAGGCATCTAACTTTTGGTCCCTGGCTGCGCAGCATGATTTACTGCAATACATGAGTTCAGAGACACCACGAGAGAAGCAAGTTAAAACCCCAGTACCGGAAGAGCACAACACCTTTAAGAGAAAAAACCCCATTCCACTCTTAACCAAAAATCAAGAAGCTTTTCTTAGTCACGGGTCCAAATGTGACACCAACAGTTTCCTTCAGCCTGACCAAATGGATCCAAAAAATCAAAATAAGCCCTGTGCATGTGGTCCCAGACACCACCTAGTTCTTCACAGTAACAATGTCACTTTTCAAGTCTGCAGCTCCCCTAGATAATCTGTTCAGTGCTGTATTTAAAATTTATACATATATTATCACCTGCGTGTTCTTACAAGACTTAGGAATTTACTAGGTAGATGCTTGTCTCAAATAAGAACTTCTTGTGCAGCTACCCTGTGAGGTTCAAGGACGATGATGCTATGAGGGGAAAAAAAAAAATTAAAAAAAAAAAATCACATAAACCTCTTATCTTTTAAGATTTTTTTTTTTTTTTCTGACATGGGGCACCATGTTAGATTTTTGCTGCTGTTCTTCACACCAAGGAGTTGTTCACAGATATTTTATGAATTAAAAATTCACTATCCTCTCCCTATGTCTCCCTTACCCACATCTGGGCTACTGCTTTTTGACAAGTCTTGGTTTCTCCTGATCTTTAGTTTTGGACTTTTTTCTCCTCCTCCTTGTACATGTCCACCATTGAAGTTCATTCTCATGAATACCCAAAAGCAAACCTCTTAATTTCACAAAACTCCAGAAAATTTAAGCAGAACTCACACTTCTTGTTTTGCTGTGTTACTTAGATGCCCCAAGGACGTTACTGCTCTCCATAGACTTGAGAATATTACTTAAATTAATGGTTATTTCTGCAGCCTTAAAAGTCAGGAGCAAAACGCCAATTCTGCAGGACACATTTCCACAGAAGAACTTGAAGCCAAAACCAAGCTGCATGTTTTTTAAAAAAGATGGTAGCTATTAGATACATTCAAGTCAACCATGCATATATCTACGTACAATTCAGAACATATTTTTACATTATATTAACATACAGTAGGAAGAAGGGGAACACAACAAATGTGTTTTTTTCCTCCAGAAAAGGTCTTCCAAAAGAGAAAAATAACACATGAAATTTACAGTTTGTATATAAATTAATTAAATCCTTAAATAATTTTGCAGTTGAAAAATAAGAGCATTCTTAGCTAGTTGTGTATTTAGGGAATGGAAAGGACCAGCTTGAGGCAAGGGTGTGTTGAAGCATCTTCACAAAGCAGAGTGGGACAGGTCATAACAGCACACAGATTTGTGGTAGCAAGCATGGGAACTACTTTTTGCTCCATTTCCAGAGGGCAAAATCAGCAATACCTCCTCCACTAGCCCTTGTAACTCCCACCCCAAAACCTGGGAAATACTAGATTAAATTATAAAAATGCAACCAGAAGACAGTCAGGATAAATTTTTATTGTTTCATGTTCTATTTCTATAGCACTGATTTAACTCATCAGTTCCTTCTGTACTCATTAAGATCTATTTCCAGCTTGAAATTTTCCTTTTAATCTCTTGTCCTTGGATAACAACTGAGTAGGACCATCCTTTTTCAGCCAAATAAATTAAGTAATCTGTTTCACTTCCCTGGAACACTTTGTTCCTATTCCATGTTTCCTTTAAGAGCTTTTCTACATTATGTACACGATGAAACAGACTTCATTAAAAAAAGTGAAAGGAGTGAAACCATTTTAAAGAAACAGAACATTTAGGGTAAAAAAACCCTCATAAATGGCTATAAATTGAAGTTTAATTGGATACTAGAATTGTAAAAAGAAGCTCTCTACCATTATCTATTACTAAATTCTTAAAAATTTACTGTGAGACTGATTTAACAAGAACTGTGGACTTCTGTTTTCTTCAGTGGATCAAATAGTCATTAAAATCAGATCAAATACAATCTGTATTACATCATATTTCTGAGAACAGGGAGCACAAATGTTCAACAGTGAGTACTGAAAGAGATGAACAGCAAGCCCAGCATCTTATTAACCCACACCAAAGTGAGAAAAAAATACATATGCTGCCATCCAATCGCAGAAGAAAAAGTCTTGAAAAAATAGTTCTAATTTTCTGCACTTTATTCAGCTGCCAACAACCATCAACCATTTTTTATTGATTTAAAACATTTTTTCCTTCCTCTGTTTTAGTAAACCACACCACCTTCTCTTTCTCTTCCATTTTATGCAGCTATTCTTGTTTTCTTTCCTTCTACATGTCCTTAAAAAATGATGGGGGAGGAAAACTAATAAATAGTTTGTGGACTATATATTAGACCCTAAACCCTCCAACTATTAGAAAAGCATTTTTCTTTCCTGTTTGTAGCCTCTGCTTGTTCATCAGCCTCTGATTCTTGTTCCCACCTTAGGAACAGGAGGAAGAATTTCTACGGTTGTTTGAAGAAAAAATGGCATTCACAGGTTGACCAATACCCCTTCTGCTCACAGCTCTCCAAATACCAACAGCTACAGCAACCAACACTGTCAACCTCCTCAAATGGCTGCTGCATACTAGCATCCCATATGACTGCATCTCTGTGACAAGGATTGCCAATTAAAAAAAAAAAAAAAAAAGAAAAAGTCATTTTTAAAAAGCTGGTATGACTCCAGGAAGGCTGGCAGAGCAGAGAGGATCAGTGCGGGATGAAGCTCTATCACATGAGAGGAAAGAGAGAGCTGCCGTACATTGCACGTGCTGTAAAGGTATCGCCCCTGCATGATAAGTAGGCTTGTTCCTCATCTGGAGCAGCTCCCCAAATGCACCTTATTATCCTGTTCCAGGCAATCTGGGAGAATAGGCTGCATATTGCAGCTGTATATACAACATGCTGGAGAACAGTAACTAGAAAAAAAAAAAAAAAGCAAGAGCAGATAGAGAAAGTATATCTGTTAGGGAAGCTTTTTCAGACACCCTGAAGGCTTCCCAGCTAGCTCATCTGTGTTCTTATCTAAACCCAGGCAGCAGTGGGACTGAACCCAGAAGAAGGGACAGTGCCTCCACCAGAAACCACACACCCTTCCTGAAAGAAAAGTCAGCAGCAATTGCAATACACCCATCACCAAGTGTCCTCTGGATTGAGGGTATGAGGGTCTCGGCACTTATCATGGACAACTGCTTGCAAAATCTCTGCATTTCTCACTGTCTCTATCACATTGTCATCATTTAACAGAATGAAAACCTAGTTAGAGCCCTGTAACATTAACTGCTGTTCTGGGAACTCTTAGGTAATTTAGTAGCCTATGGCATTTATTGATGGTATTCACTGTTGGAAATTTTTTGGTAATGTTTACTGCTTGAAGACAAAAATCTGTGGATGATAAAAATTACAGTTAATTTAAATGGACAACAACTCCAGGAAACTATAAAAAAAAGTGCTTACAGCTAGTAAATGGCAGATTAAACGCATAAAAAGGCAAGATTGTTTTGCTTGCTTATTTTAAGTAATTTATGTTGATGGTTCTAAAATAACTATAATCGCTCCAGAAAGAGATCCTGTTCTATGAAAAGCTGCATTCCACCTTCATCAGCTATTCCTGAAAAGGGCATAGCAGAACTGATGAGATGTGAAGAAAAGGAAAAAAAAAAAATTAAATAAAGACTGGGAACAAACAAAAAAGAAGAAACAACACACCCTCCACTCCCCCCCCAAAGTCTAAAGAATAGATCAGGCATGCAATTTATAGATGAAGCAACAGTATCCAGAATTAGAGCCTAAAGGCATTTATCCTTCACAGCAGTGATACGTGTCAACATACAGGGCAACTTAGAAAGGTAATAACATTTCAAGCTGGTGGTGGTGGACATCTTTTCTTGAGGCAGAAAATGCTTTTAGCATAGCTAGAATTTCTCAGATAAATTGGGACTGCTTTGTAAAGCAAAACTGTGACTCTTTTTATGCCAAAGTATTGGGAGGAACACAGTGAAGCTACTTCGCAGTAATTGGTGTTTTCTGAGACATCTTGTCAACATTTCTACTCATGCTCTACGTATACATCTCTCACCATGAGTAGCCGTGAAGAGCAGCATCAATACCAATGTGAAGCATTTTAAGACTTGAATCAACTAGATGATTCAGCATCTATTAGAATCAGAGCAGTAATATTTTCAAGGAGTAAAACCACATGCAACCACCTTGTGTTTTTCTTCCAGTCTATCACTTCATTGAGATAAAGAGTAGAAATTACTAATATAATAAATCTGAAGACTTTTTTTCTAAAAACTAGAGAGGAAAAAAGGGAAAAGTTGTTAGGTTCTGAAAGCTGTATCTACATTACCCTGCATAGATGCAAGTTTAACTTAAATCAAGTCAAGCAAAGCCATCGCTATTTGGTTTTGACACCACCTGAGCACCTGAGCCTTGTCATGTATCACTAATGAGAAAAAGAAACCAAATTATAGTTAAGAACTTTTCCCCCAAGAGTTTAAACTTCAAAGTGAAGAACGTGTTCTAGGTACGAATATTTAATGAAACATGAGTTGGCAGAGCAGTGATGGGAAATCACAGAAGACATGATGGTCCACATGAAGTACTACCAAGGGTTTTGGCACTGGCCAGTGATAAATACAAGAAATAACCTAAACCCCCTACACATCAGGCTTCATCTTGAGTAACTGTCCACTGGTGGGACTGCCTGAACACTTAGGGTCATTCAGGAATACTCATACTGAGATGTAAAAATATCAGCTAAGCTCTAGGCTGATGAGACAGTGAGCACCACCTCAGAACGACTGAAAGTTGACCTAAAGAATCTTAAAATCAAGAAGGCCATAGAAATATTAACTCTAGGAAAAGAGAAAGCACTCCTGATTAGTGCTGACAGAGTAACATTTAAAAGCCACATCTATTCATAAACCAGAATGCTAGCTGAACTTCTTAATATCCACCTACTTCTACATTTCTTGCACTGTAAGACTAATGAGCCCTATGCCAAACTTCCCCCAAACAATACCAGTAATATGGCAAGGTTGTTTATTTGTTTCTTGTTTTCTTTGTTTGGTTTTTTTTTAAGTATACTTAGAGCAAATTAAATAGGGCATCTGAGGCTCTGAGACAGTAAAATTGTCCATGTATGTAGCATATTGCTCTAGCTCCTCCTAGCTCTTTCAATTAATGGTTCCTCTGTACTCTCTGCTGTAGTTATGCTCTTTTTGAAGATTTTATTTCTATCAGTTTAACAACATCACACACTACTTTGAATTAATTAATTTCTATCAGATTCATGACTCTGCTTGTAATTTATTTGGAATCTACTTGGTCACAAAGTAACTTGGAAATCATAGCTGGAAATCTGGGGGGTTTTTTTGGTATATATTCAACAGTAGAATTATATTGATGATACATTTGAAATGAAAAAATAAATGTAAACAATCAATTTGTACATTCTCTTAAACATGTCATTCAGTTAATTTTGATACTATGGAATCTTCCCTGACATTTAGAAGTTTCTCTACGTAGCTGAATACATGGATCTTTCCTCAGAATATTTAAGAAGTCCCATTCATCCTTCAATTATTCACAAGAAATCCATACAGGCATATCGGCTCCATTTCTGGAGCAAGATTTTAAATGTCAGCAATGCAAATATGATCCAGTAACCACTATGCCCAAGCAGTTGCAAAGTAAGGTGATGCAAGACCAAGAACATATTAAGGATGCGCAGTGCATGTTATTACTTGCACTTCTCATCCCCCAACCCCAGATACATAATTACTCTGGAAAACAAACAGAAAAATTTCCAGTTAAAAGTCCAGAGCTATTTAGGAGAGAACAGCTTCCAAACACCTGCCTTTTCTCACTATTGTGAGAAGGAATTTCACAGGGAAACAGTGTACTTCAACCACCTGAAAAGTAACAATGGAAACAGGACGTGATGAGGATATTGATATTTTCCCAGAAGTTTCCAAAATAGGTTTGTCACAGTGGTGTCCATTTAAAATTAAGTAGAATGTCCATTGTGACATTTCCCTTTTTTGTGCACTTGCTTTAAACCAGGAAATATTTGAAAGTGAGCTACAGTAAATATGATGATCCTATAACCTTCCTTTAACAAAACAGCCCAAGCAACCAAGCAAAAAAATCCCCACAACCCACACGCTGTAGTCATCTAAATGTTTAAATACTGTTCTACAGACCAGAAACCAAATCAGCAAACAAGAGAAATTGTTAAGCGTGGTGTAAAATTCACAATAAGAAAAACATCAGAAGCCACACCTACTTCTTTCCCTCTTAGCATTTACTCCATTCTCAATTTGAACAAAACCACGCATGCAGAGAAACACAAAAAGCTACTTGAAAAATACTCATTAGCTCTTCCCTTCTTCCAAAGCACTTCCAACTTTTTCTTTAGGTGTAGGTACTACTTTACTTTCTTCCTACTACTTTTACTACTTTACTTTCCTCTTAGGACACCTGATGTTTTAGCTACATTTCTTTTCCTTACCAGATCGGAAGCGCTCATCCCTTGAGTTGGTAGAACGGGATTTCTGCTGTTTAGATACAGCAGTGGTAGCTTGTGAAGAGCCTGGGACTCTGTTCTCTGCTTGCAGGGACGGATCCACACCTGAAATACAGTTTTATTTCATTACAAATTGAGATTTGCAAATAAAACATCTGCTTTCCATGTCTATGTTCTTTTACCACCCTTGACACTTAATTAAAAGTTCAACTGGAGCCCTAAGTTTATATACTTAAAAAAAAAAAAAAAATCTCACCTTCCAACTGCATTTTAAATTACTTAAACTAAAACCTAGCGATCTGATAAGTATTTAACACAGAAGGTAAGAAACGCTTCTAAATAACAGAAAAACTCCTTTGCTGCTTTCAGGAGTTGACAATCATTTGTCATTAGGTGTTCCATATGCCAGATCTGTGCCAAGGGAGGAGAGGGAACCAAGCCTCTCAGCTTACTGCTAGACATCAAGAGAAATGCTGCAGAGATGGTTACAATTAGACACAATTACAGGAGTTAGAGATCCTGAAGAGACAAGAAGATACTGCTCCACCTTTTAAATAAAACTTGAACCATTCTGTCAAATTTCTTTTGAGTCTAAACACAAGACAGCTAATTTGAGTGAAATTTAGGAAAGTGCATATCTTTATTCCACTTTAATAGAGCAACACTCAGAAGACGGACATTTTACAAAAACTCCGCAATTCACTAACAAAAACATTGCAGATATTGAGGGCAGAACTACTCCATCAGTTTCAGCTGTCTAACAACCTCTAGGCTGGCTGGGTGCATTATGTCCTCATTAAAGGATTACAGATCTTCCCATTCCCATAAAGGGTAACAAAACTAAGAGGAAATGAACTGGTCTCTAGTTGTTTCCTGTGCACCTGTCTAGAACAGGGCTCTAGACAGATAACCTAGAGCAGACGTCTACCTTTAGGCTGACTAACGTTCAGAAAGATCAATCTCACCTTTACATTCTAGCATAGCAAAAATAAGAAATTTAGTCTACCAACTGAATTGATTCAATATATCTGATTCTCGAAGAGTGGTGAAAATACTTAAGAATTGCATTTTACATTTTAGGTGAACATGAGTTTTACAGAACCACAAGTCAAGAGCCCACCAAGAGCTGCTGATCTGGAAACAGTAAACAACAACTTTGTATTTTGTTAAAAAGATTGAGGCGAGCCACCTCCTCAAAGCCCGATCCAAGAAAAGAGCAGACGCAAAAGGGTAACGTGATAACTAAGGCAGTGAAAAAGAGAACAGGACAAGCAGCTAAGCTGGTAGTCTCCCTAAAATAGACTGTTTATGACATTTTCAGACAACAGCATATGTACATTATGAAGGTCAATGTGACAAATATCAGGTCAATTTTGTATGATCTTGTCACAAGGAACCTTGGGTGAAGAAGGCAACAAAACAGCAAGAGTTTTTTTTGCGTGTGCGCGCGCCATGTTTTTTCCTCCAAAAGAGGGTTATTAGTTCTAAGTGGAAATTGTAATGCTCTACTTATAATTCCTTACTCCTCTTTTCCAGTCCTACAGTTCAGTACCCAGCTTTCCAAACCTCTCCCTCCCTGGGCATGGTATAGCCCAAGAATCCCCATTCTCCTGTAGCTGGTATGTAAGCAAGTAACTACAGAGCTTTGGAATCAGGACTCATAAGACCACAACCAGGCCCCTTTCCCACTCTGTGATCCCGTATGACCAGCAAAGCTGGGTAGCATAATTTGTAATCAATGACACTGCTGCATCTGGCTCCAGGGTTTAGCCCTTGAGCGTATGGGAAAAATAATATGGAAAATGAGCTAACTGGTATAACCAAGTAGCAGATGACAAGCTGCATGTGGGATGATCCTAAGCCATGTGCAACTTAAGCATTGCTATTTGGCCACACCAGTATTGCAGGCAGGTGGAGTGGGGAAGAGAAGGGACCCTAAATAAGCTTACCACCTTCAAAATCAGAACTCTCTCCTCCTCCAACGCATACAGAACAGATTTTTGTGAATCAGAGTTAGGGTGCTGTATTGTGATTAAATATATATCAATGAACCTCATAAGTTCCCTTGAAATTAGTATGAGGCACAAAATCCGTGACACTGTTGGAAACCACAGCTGTGTTTCTTCAAGGTTAAGTCTCGCTTTTTTCACTTTCTTGAACGTGGTTTCACATCATAGTGCAAAACCACCATAGATGAGTCTGAAAAACGTTACTTTTTGGTAAAAATAATAAGATATTTCATCTAACTTGTATGCTACACAATTACGTACCAGAAAAATCCTATTCCACAAGCTCGGTGAACTTGTTAGTTTATTCTGGTACTATGCAAATCACTACCTTAACCTTCGGCAAAAGCAGCTGGATAATTAGGCTAACTCCTCCTGTTCACACTGAAGATCTATTAAAAAAAAAAATTTTAAGAAATATACAATAAAGGCACTTGATTCACTACCACTGTATTTTGTCCATTTTTAACTTAGCCAAAGCTAGCAAGAATGAAAACTCATCTTAAGAGGCTACTTGTTCCAATTAACTGAACAATTCACTTCTACAGGATGAAATTAAATATTCGAATTATAACTGTATTCTTTCATCCACTAATACTGGAGAATCAAGACTAACACTGACATTTCCAGCAATTTTTATTTATACAAGCAAAATTTATTTTAGTGTAAGAGCACTGAACAGTTGACAATACAAAGATGACTCTTTGCTAGCATCGCTGGGGAAGATGCCTAGCTAAACACATCTAGCATTGGATAAGCAGAGATAAAAATTTCAAAAACATACTTATCAAAAACACAAACTCTATTGCTAGAGGACTCTACTGGGCAACCCACGTGCAGAGCAGTTGCCCTATTGCCTTTCACCTCACCTGTGTAAGATGCCATGTCTTAATGTCAAACTCAATGGTTTTTGAAGACGTTCACCAACGTCTCAACAAACTCTTATTTGAGACAGCTATTAGATGTTCAAATCTAATTACCTTCGCAAAAAGACTGATCACAAAATTCATCCCCCAAAATAGAAATTCAAAGTCATTTCAGTTGTAAACTAGGTTAATATATAGGAGATAAGCTGTACCAGTTTACTAGGTGAACCTCTCAAAACTATTCTCTTTCAAGTTCTAACAGTAAATTGAAAAGTAAACCCAAAGGAGTTAAAATAGCATGGCAACAATTCCCTCATCTCAGTTTGACCTGCATGGCTACCCAGATACGTATCGTGCCTCCAAACACCCAGAGTGTGCAGAAGATGACGTATCCTACTAAAGAGCTTTGCAGACACGAGAGGGGAAGGGGGAGGCCAAAGAGGAAACTTCAGGCTCTTCGTACACTATTAAATCTTTCTGCAGCTCTTGCACTGGATCTAGAAATAAGAAAGGAACAAAGGACGACAACCAGGTTCAAAGCACTAGAACAAAGGAAAAGCGGTATGACAAGGGAGAAAATAAAACGAGTACAGGAAACTCCCAGTCTGGCTCTAGGCCAACCTTTCAATTCGTCCAGCCCTTAACTAGTCCCTCTCTGCTGCCTCCTCTGCACCTGGCACCCTGCTCTGCCCAAAGACCATGGCCAGCCAGCCAGTCTGCAGCACACTCCTTCCCTTACTACCCCTTCACCCCCAGGCTATTCAGCCCATCTCCTCCAACCCTGCCCCTGGTCTCCCCCCCATCTCCATGGATTCAAGCCCTATAGACCTGTTTGCGTTTCTCCGTCGTGGTCTGTTTACCACCCACACTCAGAGGGTCCGTACCAAAACAAGGGAGGTTTTTGCCGAGGACTGCAGTATTTCTTCTGTTTTTCTAGTTTCCTCTGCCTTTGCCTGCCTTAAAGGACAGACAGGGAGCTTCAGGAGTTTCCTAGTTAAGAGTTAAGGTAGTCTACAAGAATAGGTAAGTTCTTTCCTGCCAGGTTTTTCAGCCATTTATTTATGTATGCATGGAGCAGGGGCAGGGCCAGGTGTGCTGGTAATAGCCTCTCCTTTCCTGTTAGTACCGCTTCATAAACCATGGCAGAAGAGATGCATCGTGCAGCACCTTCACATGAAGTATCTGTAGGTAACCCCTTGATTTCACCATCATTAGGGGACCTCGTACTCCTCAGAATCTTCTCAAGCAAAGCTGCATAGCTGTGTCAACACATGCCTAGCTTAAGTACAGCTCCACAATACCAGCCATATTCATTCCAGATATCTGTAAATAGAATTTTAGATACAGTTATTTCCCACCGTAAAGGAAAAAAAAAGCAAAGTCTTCTCACAAAAATGACCCAAGATGCTAAAGTTTTACATGAAACACATATGCTGAGTTCCAGATCTTTTCATAGAAAACTTGAAGTTGGAAATTAAATGGAAATTATTCCTCAAGAGACTGAAACCTGAGGACTAAGGACCTCACTTTCCTTTTTGGTCTGAGAAGCCTCACCTCAGTTAAGCACCCAGCCCTTACTCAGGACATAGTTCAATTTTATCACTCTTTGTTGTCATACCACATCCCACAACATATTACTTGATGCACACATTTTTGTCTTCAAGAAATGATCTAAGTGTTCACACCTTTTGGGCCAGTGAAACTGAAGAAGGGTCTACCCAATGTAATTTATTATGCAGAATAAGATATTAGAAAATAATTATTAAAAAAAAAAAAAGAAATAGGCACCATATATATGCATTATGCTTGACAATCTTCCACTGTTCTATAGCATTTCCTTCTACTCAAGGAAGTAAACTTCAGTTCCTAAGTTTCCACTTGGACAAATGAAATAACTTTAAAGGTGTTACTACTAGCCATTAAAGGAAGTATATAATGGCAGCAAAAAATACAAAAGCATAGAAGATGCTTGTTAAAAGTTCAATGAATCCAAATACTAGCCAGGAAACTAAACTGTCTCAATGAAAATACCAACAGCAAGAGAAGTGCTTATTTACACATTATGACAAGACTGGTAAGCAGAACACCTACATATCACTAGCTAGAACTTTTATTTCTCAATATAATAGTCCATTCTAAGCAGCAGTTCAGGAGATGCTCCACAAGCAGCCCAGCTCTCCTAATGTAAGCAGATTCTGCCTGTCAGTCACAGCCCAAATTAATGCAAATTACC